GTTTTGGCCCTTTTGGCCTTCCATACTATGGCGAGTATTTAGTGCCACAGATAACCTAACAAAGGAGACTGTCGTGTGACAGCTACGTGTGGGATGTGGATAGGCCACTCCGTCAGTGCATTACGTCGTCGATAAGCCCGTCGCCGTCAGGCTTGATTTTTTTTTCTCAAACTTCGACTTCTTCTTCTTTTTATTGGCGGTTGGCAAACTAGCTGAGAGGTGCATTAGCGCCACCAACTGGACTGGAGTGTGGAACCAGAGATTATACAGAAGTACAGGCCTACATGCTCCAGCCATTTAGTCATTAAAAGTGTTGCTGTAAAATTAAATTTTACACAGAAATTTAAATGGACGGTAATCTAATGGATATTTATTCTAAGATATTAATGAGCTTAAATTTGTAAGTTATGTCAGCGGAGAAGTTTGTACTATTAAAACAAACACTAGGCTACTTTAGCTTTGTTGGTATGATGTCTATGATGGTTCTTTTGTAAATCAAACTAAAAGAAAGTGTGAAAATATCTAGAAATATGACCACTGTTCAATGAACTCCTTGAGGCAAAACTCTTTTACGTAGTTTTAACCTCCCTTCTATAAAGTATCCATCGAATCTTCTCTTTTTCATCTTTCCTATTTGCAGTTTGTATTTTTATGCGTTGTAAGCATAGACTATATGTATTCCTGCATGTTGCATTGTTAATACTGTTATACTAATAAAGAGGAAAAAATCTTTCCTATTTGTTCTCTTCAGTGGAGTGATTCAATGTCTTGCTGTTTTGTTATGTCATCACATGATGGCACTGTTGCATTTTTTGTCAATTGCACAATTTAATAATGCATTTTAGGCTGAAAAAGTCGATAAAATCTTGTGAGTTAATGTTTGAATATCATAATATTGCAATAGGCATCAAGGGTGCACATTGTTAACTAATGCACATGTGGTAATTTATAAAAAATACGACATATAACTTCACTTTAGGTGATGGGCCAGCGGGAGATTTAATGCATTTAGACTATTTTTATACACTAAAACTACATCACACTCAGTGTCACAAACCAAACACACTGCCAAGCTCACATACACATCAAATAGTTAAACACTCATCACAAGGCCTATTCAAAGACAATGGCATCATCTAGTGAATGAAAACTGCAATAGACGTTACAACAGAAACTTCAAAAACTCAATTAATTGTGGGGTTTACTTAATTAAATATTACATTGAGTGTGTTTTTACATTTATTCGTTAATAGACTATAGTTCTAACTTAAACTAAAAACTAACTAAAATATAACTGGTAACATTTGTAATTTAATTGAATAGCCTATAGGCCATACAATTATGCTATATTTTTGTATTATAGATAACAGGGACAACTTGAAGTTCTAGCCTCCCATCTTTCATTTAACTGGCATGATGTTTATTTTGGGTCTATTCTGTAGATTAAAATTGTGCTTTTATCATTTACTTTGTGTACCCAACTGTCATTTAAAATATAAAAAATAGACCAACAACAAGCTACATGTTTTATTTACATCAATGTTTTCCTCATATTTGATGCTGCCATAAATGTTTTGTTTTTCAATGGTTAACCATTTTAAAAACACAGCTTGAGAGGCAGTTTAATTGAGTGCTGCAAATTCAAACATGAGAACCAATCAAAAGCACCAGAACAGCTACAAACTTTACTAAACAACTGTGGCTGGAAATGGCAAAGGAAGACAATGTGCACATGAAATACACATATGCAACAAAAAGAATATTATTCAATATATAGCCAAGCTTATTAAAGAAAATATTCATATGGCATCTTAAACATTTTCATAAGAAATTGTGATTTAATTACATATTTTACCAGTAGGCCTAACTGTAACAGATAACACTTACATTTATTTTGTAATTAAATTATTTGACTAAATTGCATGTATGTAGTTAGCCTAATCCCCAACACTGCCTGTATGTTTGTCTACAGTTGAACATTAAATGGTGTTCGTAGAATCATGGGAGCTTTATATAATGAGCATTAAGTGAGTCGGAAATTACGTTTGTATCATTGCATAATAGTATGGTTTCTCTAAGTGTACCATCCCGATGGAAAATGAAGAACTTCACTGAGGGTCTTAAGATTTTTAATTTGCTGTCTTGTTCTTCAAGAACAATGTAATTGCTAAAAAAGTGCAGACATAAAGCAAGAGGAATAAAAGCATTTATAACAGGCTGTACAAGACAATGGGTACTGGTGGCGACGTACTAGTGACGACGTTTATGTCACACGGCTTTGAGCCGACGTACCTAGTTCAGACGTTGTTAGTAGGCGTTATTTTTACTGGAATTCTAATATACGTCGCCGTGACGTCGCCACCGGAAGACGTTCCTCCTGTGACGTCGCCGCCAAGTCGCCGCTGGTCTCCCGTCTGCAGTCCCAATCAATCCCATTCAAAAATCTACACGTTCTGGCGGCGACGGCAGGGTAGACTTCTCCTTCTCCTTCTCCTGGTAATCCATGATTTGGCACTAAATACTCGCCATACACTGTAAAAAGTGACCAGTTGGATCAACCTAAAAAAATTACTTCAATTGGTAACACCTAATTTTTTTTAGTTTTCTCAACTTAAATTATCACGTTTTATCAACTTAATTTCACTAGGTCAAGAACACTTATATTATTTGAGTTCATTCAATCCTGTTATTTACATTAGTCTGACTTAATTTCACTGCATTCCAACTTAAATGTATTACTTTTTCCTACAGTTGGTTCAACTTAAAAAAATTAATTCAATTGGTAACAATGACCAAAAATTGCTAAAAAATGACGTTTTCTCAACTTAAATTATTATATTTTCTCAACTTAATTTCACTAGGTCAATCACAGTATCACACAATAATCAAATTGCTTTAAACATATTTATTAACATTAATTCATTGTATACACCATCAGTATTTTCCATATTACAAACTTTGAGAAATCATTACAAACTGTTCATATTTGTTGTGCCAATGAAATTTAATTTACTGACACACTTCACATCCATTCCATTAACAGTCTTTTTGCAAAGTGGTCTTTGCACTGTATCTTGCTCAAAACTGAGCCACTAATACATTTATAAAAATAAATATAAAAACAGTGGTTATTCCCTTAAATGAGCCACCTAAAAACTATTAAAGGGATAGTTCACCCAAAAATGGTTCCAAGTTGTACCAAACCTGCATGAGTTTCTTTCTTCTGCTGAACACAAAAGAAGATGTGTTGAAGAATGCTGGTAACCAGACAGTTGACGGCACCCATTGACTTCCATAGCAGGGAAAAACAAATACTGGAAGTCAATGGGTGCCGTCAACTGTCTGGTTACCAACATTCTTCAACACATCTTCTTTTGTGTTCAGCAGAAGAAAGAAACTCATGTAGGTTTGGAACAACTTGAACCATTTTTGGGTGAACTATCCCTTTAATATATTCTTAAAATAGAACCATATAAGTGTATGAGAAAAGTGCTTTAGAAAAGCTTACAGGCAATGCCCTAAATTTGAAGTGAACCAATCAACTACAGATTCGAACATCCAACTACACATTCAAACTAGACATATGAATGAACAAATGGATAGTCTACGAACAAAAGAAAACAAATTAAACATTTTTTCAAACACAGACTAGACATATGCACATTCAAACATTACTGCAAGTTCACTGTAGTTTACTGAAAAGACTTTGAACTTTTGGTGACATTTTGTGCTGATCAAGCTGCAAGAGAACTTTCTGGAATACCTCGAATGTCAAACGAAGTGGTTTTGGGTAAGCCAGATTGATGATGTATATCATCCCGAGAAGCAAGGCACAAGCTGATGTGAACGACGGCAGTTCATTCAAAACTTTAACACCCTCAATGATGACACCTATGTCAGCCGGTGGTTCATGATGTTCTCCCCCCTCCTTCCGAATAACATACACCGCCATGGTGAGGTGCTCCAGCTCACCCTCGCAATCATCTCGCTGGTTCTCCTAAAGTAGTGTACATTAAACAAAATACATTTTGCGTTCATAACTACAAAACCCAAATTTAAACTTTCTGAAAAATCGAAATAGAATATGCGGAATTTCAACTCACAAGGTACTCCTTGATAAGGTCTTTGGGATTTTCCCCCAGGAAAACGATGAGGGCCTTCACACACTCTCTTTTCGTGCGTATATTTTCAGTCTGTGAAAAAGCAATTGTGATTATTTTTAAAATTCTGAGTAATCTGTAATAGAGAATCAGATTTCGCCGAGGATAGCAAAGGACAAGAAAATATAAACATTTATAAACTATAAAAGTTTGTATTAATGACTGGCCAAAATATATACATCACAGAAGTATACAAAAATCATTATTCAGATATAAACACTGATGTCTACGTTCAAAAAAAAAAAAAAAATTCTTCATTTAAAATGATTTCAACGTAGAATAAATGACTTTGTTTGGTGCACATTCCAACACTTAAGACCAAATTGTAGGAGTTTAAAAGAGTTTGAGAAAACTAAGTTAAATTTAAGTTGTTACCGTTTTTGCTTTTATGGAATGTTTTAAGTTTTGTTTAGTCATTGAGCAGTATAGACATGCTTCAGTGTCACTATAATTGTCATTTCAGTTATTAAGGCAGACTTTAAAAGCAGAAGGAAGAGCCATTCTAAGCTTTTTTATTTATTTAACTCGTTTTTTTAATGACAAAAACTAAATTGTTTTTCAGTCATCACAACTGTTATAACACTGGTTATTCAATAAACAGATATTACTGTTACTAAACTCAGCTCAAAAGAAATTTAAATTCCGTATTGATCCATATCGTGATACGTATCGTATCGTGGCTTTAGTATCGTGATGCGTATCGTATTGCGACATTGTTGGTGATACACAGGCCTAGTTATGACACTTTCAAATTTCAATGCTATAAAACAAGTATTTAACAATTAAATGTTACTGTTAAACATACTGCGACTAAAATAAGATTGTGTAGTTGGTATTAATGTAAAACACACAGACGTACCTGATCCAAAATCTGAAGAATTTCTGCAGTCTTCTCACGGGTTGCTCCTCCTTTTAAACGGATTACTCTAATTAGTTGACTCATGTGCACATCTAACTGGGCAAGGAACGTGTCTTCTAGTGGAACAGCCATAAGCCTATGGAACTCTGCATTGATCTGAAATCAAAAAAAAAAAAAAAAAAAGTGTCAACAACAGTCAAACTGCACAAGCAAAATTTTATTATATCAACTCAAATAATGTATTTAGCCAGTAAAACTAGAACTTTAACTTCTTTTTTCAATACCTCGTAATGTCTGAAAAGCGCAGGCCACCTCGCCTTGAAATCCCTAACACTGGGCTCCTGGTTCACTACCTCCTGCCGTCTGTAAGCAAACGTGAGAGCCATTTTCTCCTTGACAACCCTTTCATTTTTCCTTTTTTCAGCCTCTGTTAAAAGTTCAAGTCTTTCTTTTTCAAGACTCTCACAAGTCTGTCCAACAGGAAGGGAAGGGTAAAAGTTTGCTTCTGCACGTTTCGGCTTCTTCATTTTTTTGCAGGGAAACCATCTGTCGCTGCTTTGGCTTTCAGCGAGTTAACAGACACCTCTACACACCCCTGCATTTTGAGTTGGGTCCTGTAATTTCCCATTTTATACTTCAGTCGCTGTTTCCAACCAGACCATACACTGAAAGAGCCAGGTTCTTTCAGACAAGGGTACTTCTTCATCAAGGCCTCTGCGACTATGTAGAAGTGTGTGTCCTCTGGGTAGGCCTTGTATTTGAAAATTTCCCCTGCAAGTCTATTTAGGATATCAGTCTTTGTACGAGAGCTGAGAGTAAGCAGTTTCGCGCTTGTAAGGTATTCAGCATTTCGATGCTCTAGCTGGAGTTCAGTCTCAAAGGAAAATTGAGGAATTGCAAAGTCTTTTGGCCACTGCTCTTTTCGTGAAAAAACAGATTCAGGGGATGACATTTTTAGTGTGACACTTGATGTGTCATTTGATGCCATAGAAACGGTGTCATTTGAAGCCATAGAAACTGTGTCATCTAAGTCAAATGAAGTGGAATGAGACAATACAGCCTCAGTGGTACTGAGATCTGTAGTGGTTTGATGAAGAATGACCTTGACTGTTCCCAAATCCTTAAGGTCAGTGGTAGAATTCAGATTGAAGAAATCACTGCCAAAATCTTGATCCATGTACTGAAGTCTGATGTTGCTCTTTATGCCAAAGGTCGTCTTAATTGAGCAGTGAAGGTCTTCAAGTGACTCCGGTATGCCACTAGGAAGGCTGAGTTTTTCAATGTTGTTCTCCCCTAAAACCACCTTCAGTCTTGCAGGTTTTGATACAGCCATGGCAATCTGCAAGACAGAAGTTACTCAGTTAGTATGTGCCAAATGGGAAGACATTACATCTTTTTAATATGTAAACATTCGAATACTGAACATTCATACTAAACATAAATTCAGAATGTTTATCTTTTTGCAATTTTTCCAGCAGTTAACCCTTTAACAATTTCAATTCACCATACATGCCTGCAGTTACATTTACTGCTAGTGGGTTTGGCATTAAAGTTTGTTCATCTTAAGTTGGCTCAATCTTAAGTTTCTCAAGCGACAAGAATACATTTGTGCGCAAAAAACAAACAAAAATAGCGACTTTATTCAAGTATTCATTTCCTTCTCTGTGGGCCTCGAGTGAGTTCACGTAGTGTAACAGCGTAGAGCTTCTGGTTGAACGTCACAGTCATCACACACATGACCAGCGTCGGCCAACAGTGAGGCTACGTGTGACGTACAACACAGAAGCTCTACGCAATTATACTACGTGAACTATCTAGAGGCCAAGAGAGAAGGAAATGAATACTTGAATAAAGTCGTTATTTTTGTTTGTTTTTTTGCACACAAAAAGTATTCTCGTCACTTGATAAACTTAACATTGAGCCACTGTAGTCACTTGGACTATTTTAACAATGTCTTTAATAACTTTTCTGGGCCGGCAAGTTTCAATCCCTTAGAAGCCTATGGAGGAGTGATCCAGCTCTCGGATTTAATCAGAAATATCTTCATTTGTGTTCCGAAGATGAACGAAAGTCTTACAGGGTTGGAACAACATGAGGGCGAGTAATTACTGACAGAATTTTCATTTTAGGGTGAACTATCCCTTTAAATAGCCAACTAGATACTGACATCACAATTATAACTCTTAACTCAAAATATCATCAAAATAGCAGGGTCTTTTTTCTCTGGACGAAATCATAGGCCTTACCATTTATAAATGGACATATCTTTTAAGGGTAACAACGCATTCCTCCAACTCTGTAATCAGCCAGGGGATATATATCTTGCAGTTCCTGAGGCCCAATAGGGTCCACTTCCTTAACGGGTGATGTTTCGAGTTAATAACCTCTGTAGTGTTCAATATACCACCCACTGAGTCTCTTGACAATGAAGATCAATCTTTGTTCTATAGTAACCATTTGGATTATTTCACAAAAGTCTGGCAGTCCTCCAACAGATCCATGAATCAAGATCATCCCCCTTTTGTAGTTCAAACCATTATGTGTCACATTGTTAGCTAGGTGCACGGTGTCCACATTTAAAAACTTGTCTCTCAATCCACTGGAGATCCCTTTGTCAAGGACATCAATGTGAACTGTGGAAACATCTGACACTTCTAGTCGATGCCTGGGAAAAGTAAATGTATACAAGTGATGTGCCATCTGATACTGATGTCTCTCAGAAAGCGAAAGGAGCACATTTCTGAAGTTCTTTATATTTCTTGCAACTCGCTTAAAAAAACTGTGTTTCGCTTCAAAATGCATAGTCCATAACGCAACAAGCGGTCCATATTGACGAATCAGGTGTGGATAATGTTCCAAGAAGTGGTGTTTAGGTTTGAGATCAAAGTCAGGGAAAACCTCTTGAAACCGAATTCTGTGCTCTGAAATCTTGAAACTGAGATAAGCAATGGATTCCTCTGTATGAATTGGAGAAACAATTAGATCAACAATATCCTTCAAGTCCGTTAAAACATGCCAAGCTGGTTCTTCACAGGGGACTTTCTGACCAATCAACAAAGGCACAAATCGGATTAAACTCCAGTTCTCATGGGCATTCCCTCCAACAGTTTTTTTATCCAAAATGAAGAGGGATTGGATGTGGTTTATTTGTTTTGTCCGTCCCCTTAAAATCGAAAGATGTTATTGCTGCATTCAGTTCAAGTATTGTGAAGTATTTTTTTTTAATAAATACACTAAGACAAAGCGACAACTCAAAAGGTACAATTCCTTCAAAAAGATCATGGACAATGTCCGGTGGGAACCCAGATGTCACGTCAAAATATGAAAGGTGTTTCGACAAAGTACATTGTTTCTTTACACCATAATAGTTTGCCAGTCCATTGTCCTGAAGTTGTCTTAGATGTTCTTCATGAATTTCTTTGTTCCAGAGACAAAAACTTCCACTGTTCACTTCTGTTGTCTGAATTTGAACTTTTTCCGCAGTGCAAAATCTACACACATAAGACCCTGTGAAATTTTCAACGAATCCAGCAATACTGTGGGCCCCAAGGTTGTCAGCTATGACACACTGAACTGCCCCCTTTACTGTTCTGCCTAACTTTGACACAAAAATACCACTCTGTTCTAAAATGACAAGATCATTAATCAAAGGCTTTAACACTTTTTCATAACCAAAGGACTTTAGATCATCACTTTTGATTAAAGCAGCCAAATAGATGGAAGACAAAGATGAGTGATACAATGGTGGCAAATTGCCCAGAATCCAATAAATGCCACAGATTTTATGCTTCCGTCGTGACGTACCCAGCGGATTACAAATTTCAAATTCATCAACATATAATATCAATGAAATACTTTTCTGCTGGCATAAAAAATCATTCTCTTTGAAAAGGGCACCATCATAAAATGATTTGTAAACCTGCACAGAACCCCTTTGTTTAGTTGGTTGTTCCAGTTCATCTGTGTCTTTCAAATTCCTAGCCTGATCCAATACATTCTGGCATTCAAGAATTTGCTGCAAAGACTTTAGAATAGAAAAGTACTGGAAAGTTTTCTTCTCATTGCGATCAAGTACAAATTCTACAGGTTCAACAACATTAAAGTGTCTCTTGAAGTAACTCTTTCTTCTCCACGCAGTAGAAAGCGGCCCTTTGTGTCCTAATGCTTTTTTAATAGCATTAGACTCACACAATGCGTTAGCTAATTTTTCAACGATTGATTGGTCAAACTCACAACTATGTTCCTGTAATATTTCAGTCAAAGTCTTCTGTGTGATAGGAAGCGATACAGAGCCAATCAAATAGCTCAACTCTTGTAGCAGTTCATCGATGGCTGTGTTAGATACAAGATAGATGTTTTCTAATTTTAAAAGGACCAAACCAAGTTTAAGTTCTATTTCTTTTTCCAAGTTCACAGGATCACTGTCAATTGCAGGGTCAACATGCTCATCGCTGCAAGGTATTTCATCATCTGAAATATCACATGAAATACTTCTGAATGACTCACTGCCAGAGTTTAAAATTTTGTTTTCAACAATCCCATGCTTGAAATCACTTGCTCCAGAGTGTCTTCTATGTTTGTGACTTTTAAAAATCACATAAACATTAGTTTTGTAGGTACAGTCCTTGTACATACATGTTATGGTCTCCTTGTTTTTCAGATGGTGAAAGATGTGTTGAAAATAATCCTTTTCGGCTGAAAGTTGATGAAAACAAATATGATAGCTGAAAGTGGTTAGGGGTTCTTTGGGTAACCTTTGGACAGGGTGGTTTCTGGATAAATGGCTTATTAAGCATTCCAAGTCTTGAATCTGCATACACAGTTTAAATAAGTGCATGGATAAGTGGATCCGCGTCCATAATGCTTGTGGTTAAGTTTGTAATGTTTGAGCAGTTCAGATCTTCTTGTATAGACCCCCCCACAGTCTTTACATTTCCACATTAAGTGCAACCCTGGAATGAAAAATAAAAATTACTCTTTACTTAAAGTAAGTTTTCTGGCAAAAACTCACTATCATGTCATCCAAACTGTGCCTATTGTATTTGAAGTGACAAGGAAACAACGCGAGATCACGCGTGTGTCAAACCGGAGTTCTCGCGCGAAACTGGAATTGAGCTGCTGTTGCGTCTGGTCTAGCAAATGTTTATGCTTTATTTCTGCTTGATATAATTGTAAATATATCTATTAAAATACTGATATTCTAGTCTATATCTCCTCCCTGAACCTCCCGCTGCCCTGTTTCTTGCTCTCTTTTTGGGCTGTAGGTCATCGATAATGTCATTTTTTTTAATCACCGACAGGTCCAGATAATTAGCATGCCAAATATCTCACAGGCATCTGCGACTCATCTGCGATACTCTTAAGATCGCATCTTTGATCATTCACACTGCGTGATCATCACTCGCGTGATCGAGCACTGATTTGCCTATGATTCCGGGCATTTGTTATTATTTAACCGTGAGACCGACGGTTATAGTTGAACACCGTCATTAGAACCGCAAAAACCATGTTATTAAAATATTTTTTACAAAAATTTTTTATCATAGAGAATATTTAAATACTAATATCAGCTTACGAGGGAAACGGAGGCGGAGTTAGTGGTGCTTCGGAGGCTGCTAATGCTGGAGATGATTCGGGAGAGGTCTGTGCACCACCCCCTCCCCAAGAAGAGAAATCTTGGAGATCTCCTTAATAAACGGAGGTCTGAAATCTCTGCCCCTTTACCGATCAGAGCGCGCGCTGACACGTACGAGCGCGAAAGTGTGCGTGGCAAAAATGACGTCATTGCGGTGTGGGCAGTCGTGCGCTTTGGGTGCAAGACCCCATTTCGCTTGCCGATGTGCACAGCTTTTTTTGTAACAGCGCGCGCTGCGCCGCATCCGAGGATGAACGACTTCAAGCCGAATCTGCCCGAGCATATATGTCTCACCGCACCGGCACCCAGTTTGCGCGTCTACATTGCAAAGTTCACTGCAAAGTTTTTTTGTTAAGGATTTGTTTACTGTGAGTGATTCATTTAATGGAAAGCACATTCACTTCTAGTTGTCTTGCTGATTATTTTAAATAAACGTAGAGCAAGCTAATCAGTGTCTGCTCGTTTATTCAAACTAAGTTGTCCTATAGAGAGCCTAAGTCCCTCCCCTCTGCTTCCGGCTCATGGGACCTTATTTCGGAAAAAATATGCATGGTAGTCAATGGCGAGAGACAACTTATCTTTTTATTCCGTCTGAACTGTGCCCTGAATTACACATATGATGTTTGTCAATTTAAAAGATAACTATGAAAGTAAAGAAAGTCGCAGTTTGTCATAAAACAGAAGAGTAACATTTAGTTTTATGTGAAAATCGCTCAATGAACTACATCTCTCGTCTCGCACTATGTACGTCACCAAGCTTGTGTGTGTGCAGTCTGGTACAAAACACACATGACGGCGTAACGTTACGATTATAACGTTAGACTATAGAAAAGATGACAGACGTTAGCTTCAGTAAAGTTAGCTTCATTCATTGAGAAAAAAGGTAAGACGTCACATGCTCTCCCTTTGGGTTTGTAGTCTTTGTAATTACGTATTTTCACAGTCTTATACCTCAACATTTTACATCAAACTGCGACTTTCTTGACTTTAAAAAATGTATCTTTTAAATTGACAAACATCATATGTGTAATTCAGGGCACAATTCAAACGGGATCAAAATATTTGTTGTCTCTCGCCATTGACTACCATACAATATTTTTCCGAACTAAGGTCCCATGGTGGTCAACCGGAAGGGGAGGGACTTAGGCTCTCAATAACAGACGAACGTCTCAACATGGAATTCATTAACATACACATTTAACGATCAAATCTAATGTTTACAAAGCATTTGCGAATCCAGGAGAGTTTTCATGAAGGTCCATTTTACAAGCAAATTACTCAAATATATTTACTTAATATATTTACAAAAGTTTCATGAATGAGGCCCAATGCACGTGAATGTTGAACAGAATTTTAAAGGTAAAAAAAACTAAAACAAAAAAACAAGCACCTTTAAGTTTTTTTTCAGACAGGTCCCATTTTACATAGGGCCTAATTTATAATTATCTGTAATAAATCATTTTATATTACCGTATTTTCCGCACTATACGGCGCACCGGAATATAAGGCGCACCTTCAATGAATGACCTATTTTAGAACATTTTTCATATATAGGGCGCACCGGATTATAAGGCGCATAAGATACTGCAGTCAAACGTTTGACTGGATTTGCGTTAATGCATCCACTACATGTGCTAGATGTAAACAAATCAGTCAGATAAAGTGAAACTTTATTAAGCGTTCTGACAACTCCGTTCACTCCCATGGTAACGTTGTTCAAACGTTAAAGGAGAACTCCGGTCAATTTTAACATTGAGCTCATTTTTTGTAAATTTGGAGTGCTGTCAGTACAGATAACAACGACAAAAACCAGTGTTGCCTACACCGTGTTATCCTCTTTTTAAAATTTGCACCCTGTTGACTTAAATGGGACAACCTGTTTTAAACCTGCTTTTAGCCTCTTAACAACCGGAAGTAAATACGGGTATGTGAGCTGGCTGAATAAAGAGATTATTCCTGCCTTCGTGAAAGCTCGGATCACAGTTGAGACTGATATATCAGCCCAGGCATCCACGATCCATTGGCAGATAGTGGCGTAAGTCGCCCGGCGCTGTCTCCCCGTCTTGGTGAACGTGTGTTCCATCCATATATAAGGCGCTCCGCATTATAAGGCGCACTGTCCTTTTTTGAGAAACTTAAAGGCTTTTAAGTGCGCCTTATAGTGCGGAAAATACGGTATAATATATAAACGTTCCTGGCAACACCATCACGCTCTCTATTAAGGTGCAGTATTTTCTTGCAGTACTATAAGGTGATATATTATTGGAAAGCTAAACTGGAAAAGAAGAAATCTGGGATAAGTAGGCTCAGAAGATGCCACTTATTTATATAATAATGGCACAAACACGGTTTAAATTTGGTCTTTTTCATATTAAATCAGCCAGTACTTGTGCACCTTTTACATGCACAATACATGTCACGCCATATAATCATTTCGAGCTTCAAAATTGGTTTACACTGTATAAACTAACAAAAGAGATATTTCTGAAAATCAAAAAAAGGCACATGCATTCGGGATGTCATAAGGGTGAGTTAATGCCAATTTTAGTTTGAAAATTCTTAATTAGGATAAAATGCAAGTCAATAACATTAGACAACATTAGATGGAATTTATTCAAACATATCCAACATTAGTAATTCATATAATCTATTATCAATTATAGAAGAAATTAGAAATTGCTTAAATTAATAGAAATGACTTACCATGTAACGTTATAGCAAGGTGTGTCCTCAGTCGTAAAACATGTAAAACGCTTTCGGTCCTAAGGGGAGAAAAATGTTGTAGTATTTAACTTAAGTGGTAGAAAATGGTTTGCTACAGGTCAAGGAATTAATTATTTGTGAAAATACTACTATTTCTACAAAAAAATCATAATTTTCTACTAAAGAAAACCCTGAAATTTTTTTTCTGGATGAAACACCTCGAGCTAGGCAAATGAAGCTAGCGTTAAGCACAGCTACCTAGTTCAGTAACTTAGTCAGGGCACTGATCAGGGAATCAGTCAATGTGCTGACTCCCTGATCAGTGCCCTGATTACCGAACTAGGGAGCTGATTGAGACACACCCAATGACTTTTATCACAGACTTTCAACATCATTTTGGGCGAAAAAAAGTCGATGAATAAATCAGAGCTAACGTTTCAAAGACAAATAAAAGAACAGACAAACATTACTTTAAAAGCAAACTCAATATTATACTGCAGGAATTCAAATTTGAGCATTTAGTTCCGCTCCCCGAGCACTTCCCGCCCAAAGCATTTCCAATATCTCGCGCGGGCACAGACGGTTAAGGAGGCATCAATTTTAAAATTATTTTATTACACATAGTTCCAAGATCCAAAATGAACACATTTTTATAAAACAAACGAGTAAATACCACATCCTGTATAAGTTACATATTCAGTAACGTTAACGCTATTTCGCAAACGTAGGCCTACGATTGCGTTAGTATTCATGTTCACAAACAACATTAATTAACTCATAAACAACTAAAACACACGTCCAAAAGTTGCATATTCGAATATATTAATTAAAACAAACTTCCAACCTACCTTATTCATCCGAGTGCGAGAGAAAAAGAAAATGGCGGTTGAGCAGAAGTTCCAGTCAGGCTCGTGCGTCATGACGTCAGAAAAAAAAACGTCTGACGCGGAGGTCCGTAAAGGGAAATTATACTTTGGGTGAAAGTGAGATATTTGAGTGTCTGTGAATTTCTATGCGTTCAAGTTGAATGAGTGTACAATAATCAATTACGATTAGGAAAGCAGAAATACGAAGTAAATAGACTCAAATAATTCTAGTTATCCAACTTACACCCATATTCACTTTTTGCAGTGTAGTTAGTAGGCGTTATTTTTACTGGAATTCTAATATGTGTCGCCGTGACGTCGCCACCGGAAGACGTTCCTCCTGTGACGTCGCCGCCAAGTCGCCGCTGGTCTCCCGTCTGCAGTCCCAATCAATCCCATTCAAAAATCTACACGTTCTGGCGGCGACGGCAGGGTAGACTTCTCCTTCTCCTTCTCCTGGTAATCCATGATTTGGCACTAAATACTCGCCATAGTTAGTAGGCGTTATTTTTACTGGAATTCTAATATACGTCGCCGTGACGTCGCCACCGGAAGACGTTCCTCCTGTGACGTCGCCGCCAAGTCGCCGCTGGTCTCCCGTCTGCAGTCCCAATCAATCCCATTCAAAAATCTACACGTTCTGGCGGCGACGGCAGGGTAGACTTCTCCTTCTCCTGGTAATCCATGATTTCGCACTAAATACTCGCCATAGTTAGTAGGCGTTATTTTGACTGGAATTCTAATATACGTCGCCGTGACGTCGCCACCGGAAGACGTTCCTCCGGTGACGTCGCCGCTGGTCTCCCGTCTGCAGTCCCAATCAATCCCATTAAAAAATCTACACGTTCTGGCGGCGACGGCAGGGTAGACTTCTCCTTCTCCTTCTCCTGGTAATCCATGATTTGGCACTAAATACTCGCCATATTCGACCGACCGACCGACCGATCGAACGTCTATCCGAACGTCTATCCGAACGTCTTGTACTTTTGAACGTCTGACCGAGCGGGTTGACCCACGTGAAGACCTGACGTGACGTCAATGTCTTGAAATTAGCAGTTTTTTAGCCATGCAAGTATTCAAGCTGATGTGTAAAGACTATAAATGGACATGAAAGGCACTAAATACAGATATGTTAAAATAATACTCAACCATTTCCTGCATCCTGCATCCAAAAAGCCATTGAATAAGCTTTTCAAGAAAGGTGTTGTAGGCTAGTCTTTCTGAGTGATGAACTGAAAAAGCTGTGATTTTCTCTGTATTTCATAACTCTAATGTTTCAAACGCCAGACTCATCTATTTTAACTGTAGGCTAGTGGTAGGCTGTTAATTAATGTCTTTGTATTTCTTAGTCTTTTCTATTTCTCAGTCTCATTGGCCAATTCTATTATACATCTTATTCGAATTATTCCTCTTCCACATTTATTTATTTGTTCCTCCTACATTATATTTCAGTTAACAATCATATAACTATAAGTTATAATTGATTTAAACTATATACAATTCTTATTATTACTCCTGAAATTAAGTCAGGGTTAGCCTACATTACACTCTTAAGGGTATCATAAAGTAGACATGTAGGCTTTGTATTTGATATCAATTTGTCTGATATAAATGGTAAGCACATTTTAGCCTACTATATAATTAATTGCCTATGATTTTTATATTTAGGCAAAGCAGATACTGATTGCAGTTTTCGCTGCATTTGAATATGGTAACTTAGCGTACCTATTTCTATTAAATAAGCAAATAAGACACATTCCGAAATTAGATCTATTCCTGAACCTTCCGATTTAATGGGAGATGGAGAAAAAATATGTAGAATATCGTGCTTTTCCGAAATAGCTGTTAAAGCATGCCAGGTTTGTCAAAATATTTAGCCTCTGCTATATTTAACTTTAATAATACACCGCACATAACTTTCTAAATCAGCCATTGCAATAATCAACACAAACGTGTTACAACGTGTCTTCACACGTAAACAACGCGTTGGGAAGACTATCGGTTACTCGTACTTCCGACCGGTCGCCATAGGAACGCGTTAACAACACGTAAGCACATGTAGGAACGTGTTACATATGATTTTATGAAAATGATCAATAATTTCGCTTTGGCTCGTTGTTTATATGTGGCAGACATGAAAATCAACGAGCATCAATTACAAAGTAAAGTATATTCAGTTGACTATGTGTAACAGTTAAAAAGGTTCAGGTTAAATCCTAATGGGATTATGTATGGAATTATTTTTGTGCCGATAAAAATGAACGTAACTTTTCAAGAAATCAATGAAAATATAAATTGAAACTGAATAAAATATGTTTGAAACTGAAAAAGAATGAATCGCAGGCAATTTTTTGACTTTGTTTTTAATACACTGCATGTTTTGCTAACTATTCCTCATATTTATTTTACTGATCTAAACTTACAAATGCGCTTCAAGAGTTTTCATTTACACTTCTGAAGTTTTCATTTACGCTTCTGAAGTTTTCGTTTACCCTCCCTGAGTTTTCGTTCGCTGTTCTGACACAATTCTCTCGTGGGGGCGGGGCTATTTGCAGTGTGTTCTCATTGGCTACTGAGTTTTTGATTGACAGCTTCTTGACCTGGAAGTGAAGACGTCAGTGTTGCGTTTACTTGTGTGGATGTGAGCGTCTGTAAGCGCAGCTTTCTATTTCATTTAGGTGATATTAAGTTATGTTTGTTTTTGAATTTTATCTGTATTTACCTGCTGCTGCTACTACTTTGTCAACAGAAACTTTTAGGAGCGCAAGAGATCTCTTCAGTCTATTCAGGTGTAATTGTACATCAAAGTAGGCCTACTGTATATGCCTACTTAAAATATTGTGTCCAATGTTTTAGGAGAATATTTGTTTATTCCTGATGATTCTCTTGCATGTTAGGCTCTGATTAGGTTGTGCTATTACAATTTATAGAGAATAGCCTACTAGTATACGTGTGATATATTCAGCCATCAAGAAAGTTTCACTTCAACCAGGTAATCAAGGTTGGCAACCATGGCCATCAAATTTCTCATTGTTACCATATCCATTTACACTATCAAAATGTATGATCACTTAAATAAGAGGAATTTAAACTATGAAAATTACAATCGTGGCTTGCTGTCAGATGATACAGACCTCAAAGGGCATTTCATTACATATTTCACACAAAGAATATTTTTGTTGCCATTTTTTTAATCATGCTGATAATTTTATTTATTTCATTTAGTTAATATTATCTTCTAACATTTAAAATTGTGAATATATTTGAACAATCATCAACAGGTTCAATTATGACTTACAAAATCAGTTAAATGAATTTAAATAAAAAATCAAATAAATGTACATTCTTTATTGTCACTACAGCATACACAAGTATCAAAGTGAAAGTCTTGGATGCGATTATGTTGTGACAGGAAAGACCAGAAGCCACAAAACATTAACTGCATACTATACATGTAATGCACAGTATTCTCATAATATACATACAAAATGCATAATTACAAAGATTTTTAAGGAAATAATCCATCTCTGTGAGTCCATATAAGACAAGTGGATTGAAACCCATGTATGACAGTTGGTCGGAAGTGATTTTTAATAGTTAAAACAGTTTACATTATTAGTATTTTTCTTATCCTATTGTTTCACTTCAGAAGGCATTGATTCATCCACTGAGGTCGCATGGACATCACGGTCACTGTGTGTGGTTTTTAAAGCATCTTTAGGACTCGCAGAGATGGATTACTTTCCTTAAAATCTTAATCTGTAGAAAGAAAGTAAAATGCATCTGGGACAGCATGAGGGTGAGTAAAATAAGTGAGAATTTTATTTTTGGGTGAACTATCCCATTCATATGCTGTTGGTATGCTAATCCATGATCAGCATAGACTAATAAGAATAAACTGCAACCTCTTGTGTACTTGTAAACTGTGTTTGTTTTAATCTAGAGCTCCAAAGAAATTAAAATATTTGCTATTTTATAATATTAAAATAAAATACATCAGGTGTCTGAAGATCAGGATCCCAGTCATTCAAAGGTGATATGTCTGAACAAAGTAACATTATTGTCTGATGGAGACAGTTGATCTCTGGTATTATCACTCCATCCTCTATGTCAGCATCAGAATTTTGTTTATGGAAAAGTTGCTCAACTCCCTGGAAAATGAGAAAGGAAATGTATTATGATCTAACAATACAAACTGCTTTGAACTCCCACATGCAGTAACAAGTTGCAGACTTAAAATAATTATTTCAAACAAATTATATAAATGTTCTAAGGGATTTTACAGTACTAAATATTTACCTCCGAGTCATGCACCATTTATCATCTGTAATACTGTCGTGTAACCAGTAGATGGCTGTATAGCCCTATAAACATTTATCCATGGCTGTGTATTCCCTAGTTGCTGGATGTTTTCAGTCATTATTACTTGCATGTATTAGGTTTTGCATTTGGACACATATTAATTATTAAAGACTATTAAAAATTCAACATTTTTCTCCGAATTTTTTTTTGTTGTTGTTGCATTATTATTGCTCAAATATGGACACAGAAAAAGCATTTTGTTGCATTTTGCAGAATAAATATTGCGCAGGGTGATACTTCAAAATAATTGAGTGTTTACATATTATGAATAGAGACGTGAAATGTGGTCAAGTCCTGTCTCTCCTCTTTTAAAAACTCTGCATCGCAAATTAATCAGCAATTGGCTTTACATTGCCAAAGTTGAATCGGGCAGTGATTGACAGCGCTCTTGTACAGATACTGTACAGTACTCTAGCCCAATGTTGTTTGGGGTGGCAGGGGGGAAATATGATCTAATCGAAGACTGTAATGAAACCGTAACGTTAGATAAACAAGTAATTTAATGATTGGGCTAACTTACCAATTAAATCAAGACGACACTGCTGTATAATGTTATGGGCTCTCACTGAGCTCTAATATGCCTCTCCAAAAGCAAGTACTGTATTATAAATAGTATTAGTTTAGTATTAATTCATAAAAAAAAAAAAAAAAAAAATCGGACTTACCACGAGTAACTGTTAGGCTATCCAGTATTCTGATATCGACGATGA